GAGAGGGAGAGAGAGAGAGGAGGAGGAGGAGGAGAAGAAAACGAACAAAGGAATTGTTTGTTCTCCATAGATCAGGATGATATGAAAATTTAGCAGCGTTAAGAAGAAATGATTAGTAGAGAGATGTGTAAGATTCAAGATATCAAAAATATCTTCAGGAAATATTTGTGAAAGGATTGAATGAGAGAGTGTCCAAGAGAGAGGGAGAGATTGAGAGAGATTAGGTGTGATTTGGATGGCAAGTAAGATGTAAAGACAATGCAGGAGTGTGTGTGTAGAGAGAGAGGTTCTTGGTAAGGGCAGTTGTTGAGAAAAGGGAAGAGAGAGAGAGAGGTGCTCTATGGAGGAAAATGGGAGACAATTTATCTAGAACTTTGTTTTCATAGGACAAAAACAAAAAAAATGCTATCTTTAGAGAGAGAATCTTGGTGATAGCATAGATAAATTTGTGAGATGAGAGGTTCTTCTTTTAGAGTGAGTTTTTGGAAAAGGGAGACAGAATCAATGTCTAAGAGACAGTATAGAAGAGAGTAGGCGAGACTTAAGTTGAAAGCAATTTCTATAGGACTTAGAGCTATTTTGGTCAATGTCTAGGGTCCACGAGTGGATTTATATGTGTTGTACAGAAGTAGTAGTTGTTGTTATTTTGATTTATAGAATTGAAAAACATTCCCTCCTACTTTGGTGTAGTAAAGAGGACCCCTACTTTGTATAGAGGTGCAGCCCTACTTGGAGTAGTGACGTGGTTAAGACTTGAAAGACCCTTTTTCCTTTCCCTTTCTTTAGGTGATCTATGGAGTTTTCCTTTTGTTGATTGACTGCTATGATCGACAGGTGGTTGTTACTGAATCGGTCTCAGATCTCTCCTTTCTTGGTTTTGGTTTTGCACGATAGTGCACCAAAATTGGGGCTTGGCAATTAGCCAACAAGCAGGTACTGTTATGAGAACAACTCGAGGAAAGGGTTATTGTATGTTGATGGAGTACTTGTGATATGCGTGATTCAGTCACATAAACTTGCTGGAAATTCCTAGTTTCATCCATTTAAACCCACTGAAACTATGTTGTACCTGAATGCTAGGTTTGTTTCAACCCATTTGTCCTTAATGATAGGTTTGTTTCAACCCAATTGTCCTTAAAGAATGTTCAACCCAATTGTCCTTAAAGAATGTTTCAACCCAGTTGTTTCAACCCAATGTACCTTAATGATAGGTTTGTTTCAATCCATTTGTACCTGAATGATAGGTTTGTTTCAACCCATGTGTCCTTAAAGAATGTTCAACCCAATTGATGGTATGGATTGTAATTTACCGTATTGGAGTGACTGCTATCTTGAGATAGTGCCTAAACCATCCATGCCTAAAAATAGCAAAAGGGCCAGTGATCATTGTCAATTCAGCCATGTTCCACCATCCAAATCCAAGTATTCAAGAGTCAAGATATTATTAATTATTGATGAAGAAGAATCTTCTTGAGGTTTTTCGTGCCCCAAATTATGGTGAATTATTAAGATTTGGCTGTGGTTTTCCTTTGCATAGAGTTATGTGCCGCTTCAATGACAGGAACTCTATAAAAGTATAAATGTGTTTAGTTTAACTCCCAAATATTTTTTGGCTGTGGTTTTCCTTGGAATAGAGTTATGTGCCGCTCCAGTGACAAGAACTCTGGGTAGGTCTACCAGGTTGTTCAGGGCAATGGAGTCAGAGAAAGCAAACATTCCTGGAGTAATTGTGGAGGAGGTGACCACCTCGTTACATTGAAGTCCCCACCTATGCACCAGACGGTGGGAAGATGAGCAACCTGGTTTAGTTCTTCCCACATAAGTGGTCTGTCAGCATCAGGCTTGGGTCCATAGACCGCTGAAAATTATTTCCATCTCCTTATCCCCAGTAGCTAGAGCAAACCATATCCATATTCTTAATATTACTTTGTAATTGTGCAAGCCTCTTTCTCTCACACACGCACACACCGACTGACACACACATGCATGTGCACATGTGCACAAACAAAATGAAAAATAAATGTTTCTATCCCATGAAAGAAGTGTTAAGCACATTTACATGTAGAACATTTGCTCCTTTTTTTTTTTTAAGTATATGTAGAACATTGCAAAAGTATACAAAAAGGTTATTTACTTTTTGTACAAGGAGGTTACAATCACTCATGTCCTTTAGATCTCAAATTGGGTGGTTGTAGGAGTGTCATTAAATAAAAGGTGCGGTTTGTATAGAGTCCAGGCTCTAAACAATCAAATTAGAGCCCACATTCAAATAGTGTCGAGAATTGTGGTTTCATTACTGAAAATATTTTACTGGCCTTAAAATATATTTTCATCTTTAATTATAAAATTTAAAGCTTAAAAAATAGTGTAGATCAAGCAGATCTATGAAAACTTGAATGACTTAAAAATTGACGGTCCAAAAATACGTTACAATATGCATTATTTCCAAAACTTGAAATCCACTTTTTTCTTAAGTCCATGCATCTTGATGTCGAGATGAACAATTTGAGGATATTTGGGCATCAAAACCACCTCTTCTAGTGAAATTTTTGAGGTAGGCTCTAACTTGATTGTTTAGAGTTTAAGATCCATATAAACTTTTCCCTTCAATAAAGTCCAAGTTAAAAAAAAAATTCTCGGATTTTGTGAATAGTTGATATGATTATATTACCTAATTTTGACTTTTTTTTCCATGTACCCCTGGAAAAATAACAAATCTTGAATTTTTTGCATCAAGAACAAGCATGCTTTAGTATTTCACCCCCATCATCATGCATGGAGGACATATCGCTTTTACGTGTCCATCCTGAAGTATGATACAAATGTAAACGCAGTTGTAGAGTTAAAAGTTCATGAGCTCTTAGTGATCTGGGCTGACCTGATTGTTGATTGGCATGTATGGGAAGAAGTTGAGGATATGTCCATTTTTTATGCCATTAACGAAATGGTTCATTTGCATAGAAGATGCAGAATAAAGGGATTTGCCAGCCCCACCTACACCTATTTTCAAGCATTCAATAATTGAAGGCATCGATACATTTATCGGTGAGGCTATGGAAGGATATCTTGCTGCAACATGGAAAGCTTGCTCCTATGTGCATGTTTTGTTCCATTTGCCGAGGTTCTCATTTGAAACTGAAAGAAATAAGTAGGCATTTTCACGTTCTCTCGACATTCGAAGCAAGCCAGTGGCTTTGTGCTTGCCTCTTTTGCTGGTTATTGCATCTTGTTATATATGTTTTTAGAGAAGAATGAGGATGAAGGTTTCATTGCATGGGTGCATGGATTGGCATGTATTTCTGCTCGTTTGTTCCAGCCTGGTCTTTCATCTGACTCTTAGATATAAGTTTGTTTGCTTGCTTTGCTTTAGTATCAAATGGGCTATAAAGATTCATGTATCTTTATACCCCCACACATCCTATTTCTTGTAATCCTTTTTTTTTATATATTACTAAAGCCAGAAAAAAAAAACGCAATGCACCTCTTTGACCTCTCTTTCGTTCTCTAAAACTCGCTCTAGAAAGCCTTGGTTCTCTCTCTCTTTCGCACTCCCTTGAAAAGTTCACTTTGTGTCCTTAATAATTCCTCATCGCCCTCTCTCTCTTTCACTCTCCCTTGAAAAGTTCAATGTTGTGAGATATCTCGGGGTTTAAAAGTTAGTTTCCAAAAGACTTCATTAGTTGGTATTGGTTGTTCATAGGAGTTGGTAGAGGGTTTGGCTGAGGTGATGGAGTGTAGGGGCGAAAGTTTATTATTTGGTAAATTGGGATAGAGTGTGTACTCCTAAAAAAGATGGGGGTTTGGGGATTAGGAAAGTGACGTTAGTTAATCAGGCATTGCTAGCAAAATGGTGGTAGTGCTCGTACACCATGGAATTTAAGATGTATATGGATGGAAGTAAAGGATATTACGAGTCAAATGTCAGTATCTTTTCAGCATGTCTACATTGAAGCAAATATGATGGCGGATGGTCTTGCTTAATTAGGAGTTTTGATGGATGAATTGCTGATTTCAAAAGATCCTTTCCGTTTCTTTTTTTCCTTTTTCTTTTTATTCTGTACTGTTGTAATAGTGTGGATATATCAACGAAGTATGCTCTTTAAAAAAAAAATATCCTTGTTATCTGCTTCTTCATTTTTCGCTCTCCTATTTCATCTTAGAAGGTCGCTTTGTGTCTCGAACAAATCCTGGTTTTCTCCCCAAATTTATTTCCCCCTTCTTTCCTAAAATGCCATTTATCTCACTAAAATCTCGTGCTTGTAAAAAGCTGCCATTGACTCAAAAGAGAAGTGATTAACGATTTTAGAGGTAGAAAGAATTAGTGTGCAAGGGCATTTTGGTCTTAAAAAGTTTTGGGGGTCGTTTGGATACCACGTTTTTAATTTATAAGGATTAAAAAAAAATTATTTCTATTATTCTTTCATTATTTTTTTTTGGGGGACTTTAAGGCCTGAATATTTAATATCCAAAATATTCGTGATTTCCAACGGTTGGCAGTTTTTGTGCCCTAGGTATTGAAAATCCAAGAAAATTGAAAGCTTGGAAATTGGCAGTAGTTTTCCAAAGTTCCATTTCCATATTAAAACGTGTTTTTTTGGTTTTCTCGGTATCCAACCCATAGAAAGAATTCATTGAGCGAACCTTTTTGAAAATCTATGGGTGGATGAACTTGTACGAATGTTATGGATGATATAATTAAGTGGTAAAATAGTGGGAGGGGGTGTGGCGTGCAGATTAGCATTTTGTCGTCGTCGGCTTGGGGTTTAGTTATTAACGAGCAAAAGCATAGTGGGTGAGTGATTGATTGGCACATGGGCGGGATGGACGATGATGAATGCGCTATCCTTTCCTCCGTCCTTATTTTATGGAAAATTGCTTCATGTGGGCGCTTGGACCGTGTTTTGTTTTTGCATATTCGGTCCCGTCCATTTGCAAAAAAAAAAAAAACAAATATAAACTAGAATTATTTAGTTTTTAAATTTTATTTATTTTTTAATATTCATTATCTCTATATTATAGATGGGAAAGATTTCTATACTTCTTTTACGGCATAGATCTATACTTCTCCTACCATCCAACCGTTCAATTTGGTCAAGAGAGACACTCACCGTTTGATCTTAGATCTGACGTCTCAAAGTATTTTTTTTTTATACAAATCGTATGAATATGAAATTTAGCTTTTCATTGGAGCGCATCTATAAAAATATTAAAAATAATTTTTCAACCAAAATTCTTGTTGAAACTTTTAGAATTATTTTGATCATTTTATTTTATGATTGGACGTATAAAATTTGATATCAAAATAGTTTATAGAATAAATTAAAAATAAAATAATGTGGAGGCCTCTAGGGTTGGACAAGGCGAAATATATAAATTTAATGTTGCGGAAGAAAGCTTGCCCGTTAGAGATTACATGGCCGCATAGAAACGAAACGATGGACGGTAAGTATCACGTGCTGGAATGTGCGATAGACGGTAAGTATCGCGTGCTAAAGAAAGGAAGGAGAGAGAGAGAGAGGTGGTGGGTGCTAAAGAAAGGAAGGAGAGAGAGAGAGAGAGGTGGTGGGGCCAGGGGTGGTGTGGTGTGGTTGGGAATGGGAACAGACGTCGTGCGCTCCAAGATGGAGGTGGGCCCGGCCCCGTTTTTATTGTGGTTGGGGGGAGGCAACAAAACTCTTCTGTTTGGTCTTGGGCGGGGGCGGGGGCGGAGCGAGCGAGTGAGTGAGGAGGAAGGTGGATGAGCTCTACCTCCTCCGCCATTTCCTATTCTATTGAGAGGGAGAGATCATCCTTTATTATTTATTGAAAGAGGGAGGGAGGGAAGGAAAGAGAGAGACATGCGGATAGCGATGGGAATGTGGAGGCTAACGCTGGGAGCGGCTGAGCTAGCGGTGACCTCCGTCGTTCACATGACCTATGCCATGTATGTCTTCAGCACTGCCCTCGCCCGTGACCTCTCTCAATCTCTCAACCACAAAACCCGCCCTCTCTCTTTGATGATCACCGGATCATGGGGAAGCTCAGCAGAAAACCTAGGTAACAACAACAATGCCGTGGTTTTGCCTGCTGATACTGGTGGGGAACTCTCACCAATCGTCCTCATACATGGCATTTTCGGCTTCGGTCAGGGGGTATGGTACACCCCTCAATTCTCCCTCTCTCACCAACAATACGAGATTCTTCAATTTGATGTGTGTTGCATTTGCAGCGGCTTGGAGGCCTTTCCTATTTTGCAGGGGCTGAGAAAAAGGATCAATGCGTTCTCGTTCCAGATCTCGGCTCACTGACCAGCATATATGATCGGTTGCTAAATTCTCTCTCTCTCGCCCTCCCTGTTTGTACTAGGATCGGTATTACAATTTCTGCGTTGACTGGTGGACAAAGAAATTGGTTTCAGGGCACGGGAGCTGTTCTACTATCTGAAAGGAGGGAAGGTAGATTATGGAGAAGATCACAGCAAGTGCTTTGGACACTCCCGGTTTGGCAAGGTTTACGATGGAGGTAAGCTAAAGAAAAAGAAGAATCACTTTGACAGTTGGGCACTCCCTCTCTCTCTCTCTCTCTAATGGGAAAGAGGGCAAATTCGGTTTGCAGGGCACTACCCCAAGTGGGATGAGAACCATCCGGTGCACCTTGTTGGTCATTCAGCTGGAGCCCAAGTGGCCCGTGTGTTGCAGCAGATGCTTGCAGACAAGGTAATTTGATATTTCTCTTTACGTATTTTTTCTCTAGCACAACGATGAGATGATGATTGTGGATTGCCATAAACCGTGATAAGAAATGGAATTGGTTGGACAGGCCTTTGAAGGATACCCCAACACATCGGCTGATTGGGTTTTGAGCGTCACCTCCTTGTCCGGTGCTCTCAATGGAACCACCCGCACCTACTTAGACGGCATGCAGTAATTGCCTCAGCTTTAAACTACATCCATTCTTCTTTTGAATGCCTGTCTTTCCTTCAAATGATAATAACAACTTATGATAATAGTAATAATAACAACAACAATAATAATTCACAGAGCCGATAATGGGAAATGGATGAGGCCAATTTGCTTGTTACAGTTGTGTCGGGTTGGGGTAATATTGTATGAATGGTTGGAGATGGGGTGGCTCAAGTCCTATTACTCCTTTGGCTTCGACCACTTCAACTTGGGATGGAGGACTTGTGGTGTCACGGGGCTGCTGGACCGCTTAGCTGGAAACAGTGGCCCATTCGCTTCAGGAGACTGGATTCTGCCTGACCTCACCATTCAGGGAACCCTCCAACTCAATGCCTCCCTCAACACCTTTCCGAACACCTTCTACTTCAGCTACGCCACCAAGAAAACGACCAACCTCATGGGCCTCACCCTCCCCTCCTCCATCCTCGGCATCCATCCTCTCCTTTTCATCAGAGTCCTCCAAATGACCCAGTGGCGCCACCCTCCCCACTTCCCTCCTCCCTACAAAGGATACAGGTAGGCTGGCTACCCAGTTGCTCTCTCTCCCCCCTATGCTTCTCCCACTCTCGTTAAAATGAAACTAACTGCTCATCCTTTTTCTGCTTCGCAAACAAACCCAACAAAGGGATGAGGACTGGCATGACAATGATGGGGCTCTCAACACATTCTCCATGACTCACCCTCGCATCCCTTTAGAACACCCCAGCACATTCGTTGAGGATGACTCAAAATGCCACCCTCTTCAACCAGGCAACTGGTCTCTTTCTCTCTTCCTGGAATTTATTTTTAAGATTTGGTAATTATCGATGGAAAGCAAGAAAGGAAGTAGCAGTTCATTCAATGAGACACTCACATCCATTTGCACAACTTCAATGATTTGCAGGTATTACAAAATAGTGGAAGCAGATCACATTTTGTTCATTGTGAACAGGGAGAGGGCAGGAATGCAGTTCGACTTAATATACGACAGCATCTTCCAGCGGTGTAGAAAGCACATACACACTACCACCACCAGGCACAAAGCCACTACCATCACCACCCTGTCCCAATGATACTTGGGACAGAAACAAACTCTCTCTCTCTCTCCAAGGATAGAGATATAGATAAATAGACAAAACCTTTTTAGGGCGGAGACCGCCACTCATCTATCTCCCCACAAAGCTCTCCGACTCTCCCTCTGTAGTCAAAGCCCCAAAGAGAAACCTTATACATCCAATCCCATGATAAGCATATTATATTCCTTTACTTTGTTACAAGGTAGGGAAAGGACATCTAACCCCACCTACAAACAAGTTTATCCAATCTTACTCCAAAAGGTTCGTCACTTGTGGTTGAACCACTTGCACTGTTTATTTGTAACAAGTTGCGAGATTATATCATTGTTTATTTATAATTATATCATGGTATTCTATACAGATGGACCGTGTGTGTAATGAGACTTTCAAAGTAGGAAAATAACCATTGCAAAATGAAAATCCAACTAACTTTGTGCTATGAAAGAAAAGGGCAGAGTAATTAAACAACAACCATCATCGAACATCTTAACAAATGATGGTAGCCAACAGAAGTTCTCTTTTCATTGCTACAAATTTTTTTCTTATTCAATTAAAAATAAAAGGTAACTGAGAACCAAAAAAAATTATAGCAATGAAAAGAGAACTTCTTATGGTTATCATCCTTTGTTATTTTGGTCCTTGCGCCCCATGCATCACTCATGGATGTTGTCAAACTCATCCAGAAAGAGAGTTTGAGGAAAAAAAAATTCCACAGGCATGCATCATCATCATCAATATAATCCTCCCAAACTACCACCCTCCGACAATAATTAAGTAATTTTCAATTTTGGTCCTTGTGTACTGTTAAAGTACAACTCAAACACAAATCAAATCCAGCACTCGTTTCAATTTCTGTTTCCTATTTTCACCTTTAAGGCATAAAGTAAATAAGTAAATAACAGACATGCTCAGCCAAACCAAAAAATTATCCTCCTACAAGCGCGTTTCAATTTCTGTTTCCTATTTTCACCTTTAACTCATAAAACAAGTAAATCACAGACATGCTCAGCCAAACAAAAAAATTATCCTCGTACTAGCGAAGCAACTTTTTTCTTACAGGGAGAGGCTATGTGTGTCATCTCAAAGTGAGTGATTGGCTATGGCAAGCTCCTCCAACAAAATCCCCACGGAAGTAAACAAGATTCGTTGTATCTGACAATTTGCCACACTCAAAATATTCCTTCAACAATTTCAACATGTTAAATACAACTGTTTGAATCCTAAAGTTTGCTCACTGTGCAATCCAATACAAATTATACTAACATATAAATAAGCAAAGCCCCTTTATGAGCTTGTCATAAAAATCAGGGAGGATAAAAGTGCAAGGACACTGGACATCATGAAAAGGAATCATGGTCGAGTGTAACTCAGTTTGTTCTAGAATGTACAAACAACAAAAATGACCGGTCTCTCCAGCGAAGAATGACGCATCTAATCATGATAACATTCCTGGGAAGCTACACAGAAACTAGCAAAAGCCTGATTTAGCCAAATACTCATGTGGAGCATGCGTAGAAAAAGCCCCAAACATCACAATAATGCCTCCCATACCCAAAAGGAGCACAAGAAATTTGCCACTTTCTTAAGAGATTGACCAACAAAAAATACTCTACAAAATTTGAACAGCAACCCAAAAGGTCCAAGTAATTAACATGTGACACATCACACAAAATAGGCAGAATGACATGGGTGATCAGGGGCAAGGATTTGGGTACTGTTCATGAACCTTGTCAATCTCCTGGAGTATGTCCACTGTAAGACTGACTTTGCATGTTGCCATCACCTCCCTTAACTGCCATAATTTGGTCGCTCCAAAAACAATGCTACCGACAAGTGGATGCCTCAGAACGAAAGCTGCAAATTGAGAAAGGACAAAATTATGGGACAAATAAAATACGATTCCAAATCGGAACTCTCAAATGGCCAAGCATACAATTGTGTATAGTGAAGTATGTCACAGATTGCTTTGGAATACCATGAATTCTAGAAGCACAGCAGTCATCGTAGACCATATTAAAGCCAAAATAAGAACAGGCATGGATGGTGAATTGAGCATAGTAGAGTATGGTGCTGGTTGGAAACCTCAGGAAGTAATAATGGCCTTTACATTTGCACCACATAGCAAGGAAGTTCAGCAAGAAAGCTTATATCCAACAATTTGAAAGGAAACAATAGCATTTTGTGCTTTAACTTTGGCGTACTCATTTAAACATGTAAAATATGAAAGCAAAAGATCCAGAAGGCCAGCACCTCACAGCATCGGTTCTGTGAGGTTACACCACCGACTGCCCTTTCAAAACAGATTAAAGCAAAAGAATACCTTCAGAACATGGTTCTACTGTCCCACAACCTGCTCAAACCATGCCTGCTAAGTTCAATTTCTGTCACACGATGAACATAATGCAGTATTTCCTGTTATAGAATCTTGCAATGGTAGGCATTCAAATAAGGGATCTACTATACTGAAAAAACTCATTCACCATGTCAGGATTTCTGATGTATTTCATCCCATGCTACTTTTTTCTGAATAAATTCATCACAATATCTATATTAGGTAGCATGCTTTCAACCTACTTTTCAGTTTCCTCATTTAGCTCTTAAGAATTTCAGGTATGAAATGAAACAGTGTGGGCATGATGAATGAAATTATCAACTAGCGTAACATCTAGACAAACATACGGAACTCCAAAGTATTTCCATTCCTTGCCTCTTTTCATCCAATACATAGATTACAACATCATGAACTATAAAAGAGACAAACAAGGGCCGGAGCATGAAAACAATAAAATTATGCACACCTTAATCCGAATCTCAAAGAATAAGCAAGGGGTTTTGCATCACAAGGATGATGCATGCACTTAGGCACTTGTCCATGAAACATGAAAACAGAAAGATCAGATGAAAGATAATAAACAATGGAATTCCTAGTTAATGTTCCAAAACCTCCACTTGGCTAAACACCCAAAGGAGCAGCCACATTCTGAAGCTAAATTCATGTTGCCCAGAACATGAGAATAGCATGCAATATTTCACAAATCCCAGGGAAATTGCATAAAACTATGCCAAACAGGCATGGTATATTAAATTAAATATAAACCGTGATAGGGACAATGTAAATCAATGCATGCAATCCTTCTTTTCCTTTTCAGATACTTGGAATAATAAAGAGTAATTATAGAAGTAAATAGGAACTAATGGATATCACCATGCCTACATAATCACAGCTGAAAATTGGAGAAAGCAAATGCAGGTGACTAATAGGGGTTAGAGGCAATAATCATAAGAGAAAAAAAAAGGGACACACCAGAACTTGAAAAACAATAAAATACACCACCCATCACTGTAGGTCCTGAAGTTGAGAACCCAAGGTTGCTGGGATGTCACATACCAAAACAAGAGAGAACAATTAATCGAAATAGAAAAAGCTCTGATTTCAATAGATGAATGATTTCTAGCCCAGACCTGGGCGACCCAAAGGTCCGAAACAAAATTTGGTTGCTATTTCAGAATATACACATGAATCTCATGAAAACCATTTATTGGACAAAAATCACAAGAAGAAGGAAAGCTTAGAAGCAGTACAACTGTTTGATATTCCAAAAAATAAACAGGTGTTAGTGTCTCACCTATTGCTAGACATGCAGGAGAAAGGCCATGATTTTCAGCAATCTTTTTGTATGCCTGCAGAAAGCCACGTGTCAAATAAAAAACCAGAGAGACTTGAACAAAATTCAATCACGTACCACAAGGTATCAATAGCCATGGCTTAAATATTTTGCCACTAAAGAAATTTACCCATACATGATATTTCATGACCAAACTATGATGCTTATTTGATTCAATGGTGACCTTTATCTTCTGATAAAAACTCAACCTTTTCTACCAATTAGTAACCAAACTAGTGTCAATTAGAACCTAAATAATAAACACATGTCGCTCGGATGAGACAAATACCAAATTACAATGCCTACGATCATATAAATCAACTTTTCCTATCATTCTTTGTATTATTATGTTTTTGTAATTTTTTAAAAATTTATTGACCACATTGGAAGTGATGCACCCATAGAGGCACATCAGACCAACCCCTCCCCTCCCCAACCCCCTTCCCCCTAGTGCATTGAATCTGAATCTAGCATTTGATAACATTGATCAGAAAGTTTAAAGAGGCTGATATCATGGAAACCCTATTTTGGGGGTATTTAAGTTTCCCAAAGTCACTGGACCATAATGTTGTCCACCTTCAATTCATGTATATCACCACCACAACCTTCATCATGCCACGTCAGTCAATAGACCTGCCCTGTTCTCCCTGGTGGCCCATTAATCGGCTGATTCCCGACCTCACTTTGGCAGTGAGTGTTCGTGGGTCCCAAAATTACTTATCTTAGATATCCCTGATTAGAGACTTGGCGAGTGTGGCTCGGTCTCTTGGACATCACGTCTCTCTCGAATAGGCGGCTCGAGATCCCCTTCTTAGCGCTATGGTAAGGCTAAGGCACAGTCCCATCTGCCTTATCTATCTTGTTTCAAAATCAGTTTGCTTGGTTCGTTGTTAGCATTAATTTGACAAATACACCATTAATTTCTGATTTCAATCATGATAAATAGAATAGACAATTTCATATTCCCATTTGTCCACTTTACCACCAGACAGCAGCCTAAAACATAGCATTTACAAATGGATTAGAGAAGTCCACGCCATCATAGAGAACAGGTAATGACCCTCATAAGTAGTCCATCATGAAACAACAGCCCTAAATATTCAATATGATTTTCTAGATTTCTACTCCAATGCACCACAATGATAACCAATGAAACTAACGCTGCACAAGTTTGTCTTCTGATCAATCAAGAATAACACAAAACTGGCATCAAGTTTTTCTTTTGTATCAAGAAAAAAGTCACAAATGAGGGTATAACCGGTGAGGTACAAGGAAAACGGAAACTTATTCTGCCAATTGCTAATTCTTCTAACAAACTCCATCAGGTTTATGTTTTGCATTTCATAATTGAATGACAAGAAGTTGTCTCACATAAACCTTACTCAAATTGCCCAAAAGAAAGGGATCATTGTATTTTGCTTACTGTGGTGGCAGCAATTATGTTAGCCTTCGAAAGGTTGTATCTAGATTCCCCTTCTGGATACTTCCCTGCAGAATGGAAAGACTCTTAAAGAAATAAAAACAATCATGAGATGCATGGATGTCAAAATGCATGCTCCGGCAACCGATATACTTTTTAAAAAACTCAACTAATTTAACAGCATGAACCTCTGAAGAAATTCATTCGAGCATCAAAAGGACCACCGCCAGGAGATAAGTACTTCCCTGAAAGCAGACCCATTGCCATAGGGCTGTAAGCCAGTAAGCTAACCCTGAAAGTTTTTTGAATAAACAAAAAACCAAATTACTTAATTCCTGAAAGTTTTTTGAATAAACAAGAAACCAAATTACTTAATTTATTAAGGAAGTCAGGGTGTCCGTAAGCCTACAATAGAGAGTTAGACCAGCAGGGAATATTTTCATTATTTCCCAAACACTAAAATGAAATTTCACAAGTTTAGAATGCAAACATAGGAGGATTTTAATTTTTTTTCATATAAGCAGATATGGGAGATTATTAATTTATTATTGCTGTCAGAGTATAATCCATAAATGGATTTGTTTCAATGTATCCTTGGAAATATCAGACACAATATATCATCATCATCATCATCAGAACCTTTTCCCAACTATTTGGGGTCCGGTATCAATCACAAAATATCACAAGAGAGAAATTTTGGAAAGCAAAACAAAATCCCTATAAAATATAGGCACTTAGATTGCCTCATATGTATGAATACAGAGATGAGATTCCATTACACATTCAAGGGGTAATGGCTGGCTATTTAAAAGTAACAGATACATTTTAATCTAGAGAAAAGATTTTCCGATCTTCTGGTTGAGGTCTAACTGTCTGCTTGCATGAAGTTCCAAAAGCTAATCATGCAAAGTAACACGACACATTTCTGAGCTAGATAAAACAAAATGGAAGAAGACGTAATAACACATTGAGTTTGTTGCAATTCTGAAAAGCGTGCATCATGAGAAGAGTGCCTCCACATACCTCTCATGGTGACAACATTCAGCTAAGCCCGAATCGAAATGGCGGCAAAGCAGATTGTAAGAATTCTGTTATCAATACGCTTTCAGTTGAACAACACGACAACAAAGAATATTAGAGACAAATGAAGATGACAAACCAGGAAAAAAAATAGCAAGCACAATTGGATGGATATGATTACGAATAACAAGTTAACCTAATTCTAATAAGGAAACACAAGAATCAACACAGCAGATGGCTACGATTCTGAACGCCAAATATGAAGATACCTGAATAGAGACAATCTTTGGATAACCAACACATTTAGCAATCTGAAGAAACTTCATCAAGCCATACGGAGTTTCATTGCTGAGCCCAACAAATCTGATCTACAAGTAGTATGGCAATGCTATCAGAGTTGGTTGTATATGAGCAAATACCAGAAGTTGAAGAGTAGAACTCCCAAGTTTAAAGTTCATCAGCATACCTTTCCAGCAGACACGGCATTTCCAAGTGCATTAAGTTGTTCCTCCATGGGCACTGTTGTTAATGCTCTATTTGGATCATAATCCGTCTCCCCAAACATGGGAACATAGCTGCAATTATATGCACATAACATTTGAAAGGAAAAAAGAAAGAGAAGGAAACAACAACAAGAAACCCGCGAATGAGAAGAGATCTAGTCGGCAGAAGTAGTCCAATGAGACTGTCATAAAGGTCTTGAACTGCACCAAATCAAATATCCCCAGATATGAAATGCACCAAATAAAAATGAAAACTACGAGCACAATACCAACCGATCAGGCCAATGAATTTGATAAAGATCGATATAATCAGTACCAATACGCAGCAAACTGTATACATATAAAAAGAATCCGGTCAGAAGCACATCAAATATATCTACGCCACAGACATACAATTCAAAAGTTCAACAGATCATGAACACTTCTGACATCACTAAGCATTACAGGGAAATATCTAAACATATTTCAGTTGTTTATCACTTTGATAATCAGAAGAGGAATCATTAGATGTAGAGAATCTGGACCGTCATGAGCAGAAAACTAGATGTCGGTTATCCTAATTAATAGAAAGAACACTTTGATAGTCACAAGTCAACAACTTTTCTGCACTACATTCATGTGTGGTTCAACATAGATGACTCACATGGATATGTGGCTCCCTTATGTTGGCACATGATAGCCTACTTAGCCCATCTAAATATCAAACTAATTTTCATGACTGTCCTTATCCGGCACTCAAATTTCATTTAGTTCGACCATGAGTTGGACAATCAATTTGACACAAACCTTGTTCAAGTCCAATGGGGTGTTGGAGACAACTGGATCGGGTTCTCTGTCAAGTATTTACAAATTATTAAAAAATTATTAAACTATCTGTTCAGAATCCAAATGCTCTACCTGTTTAAAATCCAAATGCTTAAGTCAAATATAAATTAAAAACTATCCCAAATTTACAGTGCACATTATGCCCTGATAAACAGACCTCAACTGTAAAAGGACAGCTGATCCATCATTTTTCCAATACCCTGGAAAAGTGACATTCCGAGAAATCCCAAATATGTTGGATATCCAATAATTTCTAAAAAGTAGAAGGATAGTTTTGCATTCACTGCCAGATATCATTTGAAACTCAAACTAACCAACTTTCAAGACACTAAATGGAATATGCGTAAAGATGCAGCAAATCGTTAAATTGGCATCCATTCTAGCCATAATGATATAGAAAACAAAGATGCCTAACACCCGTAATCAATCGACGGAAACAAAGAGATATACATACTTTTTCTTTTCCTTTTTTTTTTCTTAGAATTTGACAATGCAAACTACATCACATCCCCAGCGATTTATACGAGCAAGTAACAAACTCTGTGATAAAATCAATATAAAGGTACAATCACGAGTTGATACTGACATCCTTTTAATCAATACATACAAGTTTAGTTCCCAAATCCAGGCCCAAACTAGAAAGAGTAAATAGTTGGAGAATGAGAATGGCCCTGCACTATGCAAGGATCAACCTCTATTATATATTAGTTGTTTCAACAACCTCCGCTGCTCAAAGGCTCCCTTTTTTCTAATAATGTTATATTGATTAAGTACTCTTGATAATCAGACTTGGCATCTTCAAGGGAAAGCAGAAATCCTCGAAGGCACTACTGTATTTTATGTGGAGGAAGTGATTATGATTTCTCAATGACATAGTGATGAACTATCAGGTAGCAAATAATCTTGCTGACTTGGACTCATTGGTTGATCAAACAACCTTGAGAAGGTGACCACCATCTTTGCAATTGAGATTGGACAAGAGTCGTGGTTTTCTAATTAATTGTCAATCCATAAGCATAAAAAAGGGAGAGAAGTACCTCTGATTGACATACAATAAAAAGAAATTGGAAATTCCGTCTCCCCTCCCTGGATGGTTGATTACGACAAGACATCATGTGAAAAGAGCATGAAAAATACCTATCATCAATGGCTTCTGTAATGTTTTGCGCATCCAAGAAGTTAGGTCCACCACGAATCCAAGTCATCTGACCCGATGGTCCACTCACCTGCACAGTTGAAGCACAAAAACATGATTGCTTCAAGGAACCACAACCAGTACACATAACAGCCAAAAGGATTGAAGACGAAGGATTGAAGAGGAAGCAGGCATCTTTTGTTTTGACGGGTGTCTCAAAAAAAGTGGTATTTTCCCTTTGCTTTGGCTGGTTCGCTGGGTTAAGGATGTAATCGGGCGGGGGCGGGCGGTCCCTTAAATAGAACTTCTTAAGTAGCACTGGCCGTTGTAGAATAGCAGTCCTACCTTTGTAGCCAAGACAATTTGATCCCGCGGAATCTTGTGATTTCTAATCCATCGCCCGATGTGCTCTTCACTCTTCCCCTGAGAAGAAGGCCTTTGAGGCACAGGGTACCTGCATCATCAGCCGTAAAACCTAAAGCACACAGAGAGGTATGGAATTGGGTCTCAGATTCAGAGCAACGTACAGGGCTTATTGAAGAATCAACAATATGCAAAGGCTGAGCGCTCACATTTCCGCAGAATCAAAGAAATTGATGCCCCCGGCAAAAGCCTCGTCCAGAATTCGAAACGATTCTTGAAATGAGTTTTGTTCCCCAAATGTCATGGTTCCTGTATTCGTGGATGCATCATCCATGATATCTCTCCCCATCACTAAGAACTTAGTAGTAAAGCAAAAACAGAGAAATAAGAAGTAAGCAATTGAAAGATACCTAAGCAAAGTCGGGAGACTTTCACAGCAGGGGCGAGGTTGAAGAGGGGCATTCCCATCATCGCCATCGCCATATGCTTCTCTTCCCCCCTCCCCCCTTTCAAAAACCCGCTGTTAAATTGCGCATGCGAAAGAACGCATATCTTCCGTCTTTTACTTCAAACTTTACCGACTGCATTTGATCATGCTGTGGTTTGCATGCCTTAACCCACATCTCGTACACGTAATTTTGATATAAAATATTTTCGGGATGTTTTGGGAATCTATTTTCATATCTAATTATAAAATTTTAAAGTTTAAAAATAATTTAAATCAAATACATCTATAAACATATGAAAATCTTGAAAATGATCAGTCCAGTTAATGTATTACAAGATACATTATTTCTTGAATTCGGAATCTTTTTTTTTCTTTTCATATTCTTATAGATTTCGAGATGATCAATTAGAGGCTCATTCAACATCCAACCAACCTTTTATTATGGATTTTTAAAGTGCACCTTTAATTCTATATTTTAAGATTGTAAATCATATATAAATTTTTTCCTTTGATCATTTATTTTTCCTATGAGGTTACAATAACTTTAGATATCATGCTAATTTGTGTTTTAAATATTTAAATTTTAGATATTTTACTAATTTATTTTTAGCAAATATCTTGCACAAAGTAAATTTTCAAACACTTAGATCCTACCATCTTAAAAATTGAAATTTGTGTTCTCTAACACTTAAAATCTCACTATCTCAAAATTAAAAGGCAATCTTGAGATTTTTTATTTTTATTTTTTCAAATGTATAGAGGTTATAATGAATATATATATATATATATATATATTGAAGTTAATCTATAAATTGCAGATCCTAAATTTAAGGTCCTAAAATTAATTCTAAGCGAGATTTTGCCCAAGGGAGTAATAAACATCATACTCCTCCCGGAGTATAATATTTCTCGGCTTTAGTTAACGACACGTCGTGGCGTCCAAAGTTCTAATCAAGTTTTTACTAAATCAAAATTTGGATATCGGAAGCAAACACTCGCGTTTTTTGTCTAAGGGAAATATTTTATTGGACATCCCATGCCTTTCACTCATAAAATACTTAAATTTTTTTATTATTGAAAATAGACCCTATAATTTTCAAAACCTCAACCATACTCATTTTTTTCACTTTTTATTTTTTTAATCAAAATAGCTTTCCCAATAAAAATACGATATACTTAATACCGTGATGAGCATTTTCGGTTTCATGTTTTCAGGCGTCATGGCATTTTATAAACAGTGATGCCCTAAACTTTTACGATAATTTTTTCCTTCCCCAAAAGGTGTGTACCATCTTTTACATAAAAAAAGTGGCGTACCCCTAATTTCTTGTTTAGAAAAAAATGTAGGGAGTCGTCCCTAAGGTGCACGTGGTCTTACATATGGGGTTTTGATCATTGGTCCCGCATATGTTATTTTAAAATTTTAAAATTTTTGAAAATACCCTTTTATAAGGATTACACCAGAAATAAAGAGTTACCCAATGTGAGATATCACATTGTTCAAGGAACTCTAGATATTGTCGAAATAAAGGATCGTCAACAAAGGCATTCTAGTGCATTGTAGAATTTTATCCAAGACCTTCTATCATTTGATGATGCCACGTGAATTGTTAGAAACATGTGAAGTATATGGCTAACCCATTAACAAAAGTGGATGAGAGCATGCTACTATGAGACAAAAGATCTACTTTCTAAAGAGATTCAAAGTTAATTATAAAAATTTATAAATATATATTTAAAAATTAAAGACACATAAAATATACTAAGAGTGGATTAGTATCAATGGATCAAAATAAACGACACTAAGGGTACTCCACTCACCCTAGAAACCAAGATCCATAATTGTTCCCTTATCCGACCCCATAAAATCCCATGATCAACAGTCTCTTTACAGGGGCTTGTGATTGTCTTGTCAAAATTGGATAATAAAACAATGGGATCATGATCCTAAAATGTGGATTACAGTTACCCTAGGCGTGGCAATGGCCCCCGGACCCGACTCATACCCGTCGAGTATGTCCGACACGGGTCCAAGTATGGGTCCAAGTTTTGGACCCATGGGTAGTGTCCAAGTCCAATAAAGGATACTCGAGAAGTCCCGAGTCCATGTATGGGTCCTGCTATACCCAACCCAGTGGGTACCCGGACCCGAATTTTTAGTTTACCTAAATGCCAAAGCCCCAACCCTAAAATCGTTTCAATACTAGTTGTTGTCCTCTGGTTTCTCAAAAGACCAAACCCCATTACCATCCTACCTCTCTGCAATTTTCCAACTATCAGTTTCTTGGATTCATAGCTCTCTCTCTAGATCTTGAATGTCTCTGTCTCTCTAATCACCCACCCCTCAAAAATAAGTTCTTTGTTGTTCACCATTGAAGGCTACAAAAAATGAAGCTCATTTGAAGGGGGCAATGGACCTGACTAGACCTGAGACTCAACGGGTACGGGTATGGATCCAACTTTTGAACCCTACAAGTCGGGTCTGGGTCCAAGCTTTGGATTGAATAAATTCGGGTCTGGGTTCAGGTCTAGCCGGACCCAACTCATTGTCACCCCTAGTTACCCCCCTTAATAGTGCAAAAGGGACTCTCTCAATGCAATGTACATGTGTCCCTCTAAAAGGGTTGCTTCTCATTAGGTTGTTATGTACACGTGTCCCTCTAAAAGGGATGTTTCTCATGGGGTTGTTATGAGTACATACCATACGAAAGTTTGTTGAGGATTTGACATTTGCTCTCACAGGCATACAATCATACACAGAAGACCACATAGTTCTTCCGGCCGATAAACATAGTCCCTAGGCATCTCTTTGACCTCAACAAGGGAAGACACACTTCAAACCCTAGGGCCAAGGGTTTTAGACATGATAGGGGTCATAAATTGTCTAACCCTTGGTCAGTCAACACATACACACCTACTTATTTTTACAAGCTCTCTAAGTCTTTAAAGGCTATAAAACTCAATATTCAGGACCCAAAAAATAGCACAGATCTTGCTGATCTTTGAACACTTATTTTTAAAGTAATGTGTTACAATATATATGATTTTTAGGGTTTTAAATCTTTTTTTTTTTTCCACAACAATAAGGTTCAAATCGAGATGATTAACATAAAGATTTTCCAATGATCGACTTGTAATTTTTGATGAGTTATGAGGTGACGACTTACTTATTTTGATAACGCTGCAGCCCGATCAAGCCATTTTTCTTTAAAAAAAATAGTGGAAACATATCACATAGTTCATCGTGAAGCAGGAGAGGGCGGGAGTGTTAGTTTGACTTTATATTACAGCATCTTCAGTGTAAAAAAGATGCCCACAGTACCACCACCAGACGAGCCACTTCCATTCCACCCTGCTGCCGTGATATATTTAAAGGGTGCGGTTTGTATAGAGCCTAGGCTCTAAACAATCAAATTAGGGCCTACCTTTAAGTAGTATCGAGAAATGTAGTTTCAGCATTGATTTAAAATATATTTAAAGTTTTAAAAATGGTGTAGATCGACATATCCATAAAAACTTGAAAATCTTGAAAATTAACGGTCAAAAAATGCATTATAAAGTCATTATTTCCAAAACTTGAAATCAATTTTTTTCTCATGTCCATGAATCTTGATGTTGAGATGATCAATTTGAAGATTTTTTAGCATCAAAACAATCTCTTCTAGTGAAATTTTTGAGGTAGGCTCGAATGTGATTGTTTAGAATCTCGGCTCGCTATAAACTTTTCCCATATTTAAATAGAAACTAAGTTGAAAGAGGAAATTGTACAAAGCTCTCTGTCTCTGTTTTTCTCTCCAGGACAAAGAAATAACACATATGCATATATGCACCAAGTAGAGTTATAGCAAATAACACACATGCATATATGCTAGAGTTTTAGTTTTATTCCCTAAAAAGGAGCTAAGGTTGATAATTTTACCAAAAAAAAAAAAAAAGAAAATTATTGCAAATGTACCTTAATTTAAGCTTAATTGAAAAAAAAAACTCAAACTTCCGTTTATCTCATCTACACATTTTTTCCTCATTTTAGACTTTTTTTTGGACCAAAATGACTTTCACGGTAGTCTTACTACTGTAATACATATCATTTTATACGATATTTAAAAAACCATAGTAACTTCAAATAATATTACGGTACTTTAAGTATCGTAAAACTCTGGCCATGACCGTGACCATGAAGCCAATTACGATACTTTAAGTACCATAAAAACTAGAACCTATTATACGGCATTTTAAGTACCGTAAAACTAACACATCTTATATGGCACTTAAAATGTCATAAATCCTTTTCTCTATATTTATCTTTTTCATCTCTAATTCTTTTTATGTTTATCTCTTATTTGTCTCTCTCTCATTCTTTTTAATATTTATCTCTTCTTTCTCTCTTTAATTCTTTTTTATCTCTTCATTCGCTCTCTACAATCTCATCATCGTCTCCTTAAATAGATCATGCCATCTGTTTTGCATAGCCGAAATCAATGTCTGATTACTCTCTCTAAGGAAACGATGATGAGATTGTAGAGAGAGAAAGAAGAGACAAAAAGAATTAGAGAGAGAGAAAAAAGAGATAAATATTAAAAAGAATTAGAAAGAGAAAAAATAAATAAACATAAAAAGAAGTAGAGATGAAAGCGATAAACAAAAAAAGGTTTACAACATTTTAAGTACCGTATAGCATGAGTTAGTGTTTACGGTACTTAAAATGCTATACAAAGTGTAGTGTAAGTTTACGATACTTAAAGTACCGTATAAAATGCCCTCAATATTATGGCACTAAAATAACCGTATAAAATTCCCTAAGTATAATGGTACATAATGTACCGTATAACATGCACTAACTATTACGGTAATACGACTATCGTTAAGATCATTTTGGTAAAAAAAAAATTGAAAATGAAAAAAAATAGTGCAAACGAGATAAACAAAAGTTTGGGGTTTTTTTCTTTAAAGTATATTTATGATAATTTCCAAAAAAAAAAACAAAAGATAGACCCAAAAAGATATGATTAGACATGGTGAGAAAAGATATGAAAACTTATAACCTCACTGAAGGTATAACTCTTAATAGAGAAGAATGACATATCAAGATTTGTATAACCGACCACAATTAGTTGGGAAAAAGCTTTTGATGATGATAACGAATAAATGATGTTGTAAACTAACATAGGTTGTGGTAATGAGAAAGGAAAGCTTGCAGTTTCTGAACACAACACAGCTCATAATCACATTACTGAAATCCTTGTTATTCCTAGGCTCGAATCAGCAGAGAACAAAATAGAATCTCATTGTAGTTTTGCTTTCTAGGAACCCTCGTAACTGCACCAATTAATGAATAATATAAGCATTGTATTTCAAGTTGTTTTTCTGAAGTTAAAGAACAAGAATTTTACAGTACAGAGATTTCATCTGTGAGATGGGGGCAACTCAAAAGTAAATAGAAATCAAGACATTATCAGTCCTCTCACAAAGGGCAAGGGACCCTCACCACTTTCCAACAAAGTTCCTTCAAGAAGTTTGATTCTCCCAGTATTTGGACACCACAGGTCACAAGGTTCAGCACAAAATAGTCGACCTCCCTCATTCCCTCCAAGAATACCAAATGATGGTAACTCGAGTTTGAAATGATATTTCACAAAACGCCACCAGAAGACAAGCAGGTGTCAGTTTCATCCCTAAGATAAAATCAACTCAATCTGATTTCCTGAACAGAAATGAGCGTCGGGCTGAAAAGGGTATTATTATCTCAAAGACATTACGAAGAACACCCCTATCATACATATTCTTCTTAGCTATAACTTCCCCAACTTTCTCCCCCACTTTCTGACGGGTACAACAAAACAAAGCATGTCTCTTTTGTGGAGGTTTCTCTCTTCCACTAACATTTTCATCTGCAAAAGTATCTCCTTTCAGTGCTGCGCTTGAGGCCTTGGCCTCATTTAATCTCTTCTTCCAGCTTATGTAATCTTTCCACTTGAAGGTCTATAGTTTGAAATGGTAGAGTAAATCCTCAATGAGAAAAGCAAATTAAATGCTGGCAGAGCTGTGATCACAAAGTAGTGAGTCAGAGGAGTTTACCTCGTTAGTGGTTGTATTTGTGAGGCAAAGGCAAGCATGGTACCCAAAAAATCCAGCCAGTAGAAGTGATACTACTGCTAGGAAAACCATCACAAGTATTTGGGTGTTGTATGAGATCAATAACCACTGCATTTTATAGTCATATTTCAATAAAATGGAACAACAAAGGATGTGTTCTCATCTTCACCAGGTAAGAGAAACACGTATTGTTGGCAAAGTTAATGGTCATACCTGTACAACATGAGGAAACAAACTGTACAAAGAATCCTCAACTCCATAATAGGCTACAAAAGAAAGAATTTCCATACTAGTTAGATACTTTATTGCATTCCCTTGTCAAAGAAAATCCCAATTACATTTCAGAAAAACAAGAAGATTCCAGTCAATTCATGGTTGGTCAGCTTACCTGTTAAAATGTATATCACCTTATGATCTTTCAATTGACCACAAAGAATCAAAGCCAGGACAACCGTTCCATATAAGCAAAGAACGAAATGCCTGCACAATGTGACCATGTCATAATATCAAAAGCATGTGCAAAGTCTCTTTAGAATTACAAATGCAACATGTTAGAAAAACAAAGCCGCATGAAGGGATACGCCCATCTTATGGAAGCATATCTCAAGGACATCGAACAGATTCACGGATCTGATGGCCAAGGACGGAGCCAAGGCCCATGTTGAAGAATAGGCCCTTTCAGCTTCGGGTGGTTACATAGCACTTGCTTCCTTTTGGAGCGGGGTTCTTTTGTGTGCTGGGATTTTTTGTTAGCTACTCTCTTAATTTTTTTTTACATGTGCAATACACTGTAAGGGGATAATTTTATAACCCATTTTTGTATAGGGTATAACACATTTTTGTATAGGGTCCGATGACGTATTCTTTTTTACCAGGAGTTCCGTTTACTTAAGGTACTCTTGGATTTACTTTAACCTCATTGTATTTATTCTTTTGATCAATGCAAAAGTTAACACTTGTCAAAAAAAAAAACATGTTAGAAAAACAAAGATTGCTGTTCCATGGTGTATGAGGGTGGTCAAGCCTTAGGTTTGAACCATGCCAGGCAAGACAAACAACCATAAAGAAAGAGATGAAGAAAATAGGCCCAATATTCCCTAGGCAAGAAATGTGTAAAAGGAATAAAATTTCTTGAGATTCACTTGCAAAACATTAAAATTTATGACTAAGGACTATAAAAGTGGAATCAGTAAAAGTTAGAAACTATTTATTAAAAATCAAAAGAAAACTACAGGATAAACAAGGAGGCATAACACACTTTAATCATATTTATACATTATTTTTCTCTCCAAGAAAAATTTCAGCCACATGCTTTCATTGATAATAAGTATAGTGTTATGACTTAAATTGCAGTCATATCGATTTCTGGCACCCATATGGCCATTTGAACAAAGCTGGTCTCACAGTTGTCCTATAGAACTTGCCCCTCAGCATAAATTAAAATAACAATAAAATATAATAAAAAATTCGTAAGTAAATACATCAAATTAAAATGAACAAAACTGCAGCAGAACACATATTCAGCTTTGCTCCTATTTATGAAAAATTGCATTTTCTGATAGAATGTTCGATGAGAAACATGCAAGCGTTGTAGGAACCATGCTGTGCAGCAATCACCCTCCCATTATTAACATCCTCAGGCAATTTCCCGCAGAAATAAAAAAGAGAGACCTTACATTCCAGTTGATTTAGCAATTTGTGAGGATAACTCTAGATGAACTGATATATTAGACAAAAAGAATTTAAGAACATGCCAAGTAACATTTTTTTTAAAATGTTAACCATATTAAGTAAAAGTGAAGGTGTTACAAGAGAAGGAGCATCCCATATCAGGGGTGCTCAATAACAATGACCCCTAATCGGGCCCAAAAAATGCTATACATCCAGTCTATAGACAATCAGAAAATAAGCAGGTAGAGGTGAGACTCTATTGCTGTAAAAGGTCCTCAAAAGACCCGTGAGAATTCTGGTGAGTAGCACCTTCCTTCGCAAGGACATCTGCGGCAGAATTGGCATCCCTCCAGATGTGTCTCCATACCACGTGTATTAGTGCAAAGGTAGAAAATCTCATTGAATATATATGCTTCAGTCTCCAAGGACAGGGGCAGGATTCTGAAGTCCATGCTTGGAGTTGAAGTTGTACAGAATTGACATTGTATTAGTGCAAAGGCAGGATTCTTGGAGTCCCCGTCAATAATCAAAGAGGGGCTCCAAGCAGGATTGAAGTTGCAAAGGCCTTCAAGGAGGGCTAGCGCCTCCGCCGTCGAGTCAACGTGGTCGATGAAGCGAGAGAAGGAGAAGAGGGTATTGCGGTTGACATCTCTGAAAATAGCCCAATGCCTGAGGGGCCAGGGTTGCCAAGGGAGCAACCATCGAAATTCAACTCAGTTTAGTCAATCTCAGGGGCCCTCTTGAGAGTAGCCCAAGGAATACGCATAATCCTAATAATCAGAAAGTTGTTCCAGTTAAGGTGGGACACTGAGAAGGAGTAATGGTAGAAAGCTTTGTTGTGTTTTGCCCAAAAGACGATGTAACCCTCTCTTTGAGGGTTTCATTGGTGGCTCTCTCCCCGCAAAAGAATTTCTTGTTTCTCTCCAAGTAAATTATAGTGCACGGAAGCTCCAAAACCCGACAATTGATTTTCAGCAAATAAAAAGCGAGAAAAATAGAACCAAGAACAAGCAAATAACAAGCACAAAAAATAAAGTAGAAATAAATAATGCAAAAAAGAACACTAGAATTTTACGTGGTTAGTCACAAATGTGACTACATCCACGGGCAAAGATGAGCGGCAGTTTCCCACTAATTAAAAGAAAGAAAATTACAAAATGCATAACTTAGAGAACCAGAGATACAAAACTCAATCTCCTATAAAACCTCATTCTCTTCCATTTTCTCTCTCTACACCTCAAGTTTCCCTTCTATTCTCTGGCACTTTCTCTCTCTACAATGACCCAATATAAAGAGAAAAGCAACCCAAAAAAAGTACGTGAGGCCTATCCCACTTTTCCTGACTTTTGAAAACTTAACTTTATCCTTATCTACGTTGACTCAAGAGCCTATCCTAATATAAATAGGATCACCCCAAAACCAACCCCTAGATAATAAGAAATTAGTTACTAAAATCGCAAATTAATAGGAAACCCAAAATAGAAGGAAAACCAATTCCTTAATATTAGGGATTCAAGAGAAAAATCAGCAAATTTGAACCTTGGCTTGAATTCGAAAAGAGATTCCCATTAACCGTCTTCTTCACACGCGCCCCCATGAGCACAAAACTTGGCAACATATTAGTCAAATCCAAGCATAGCTTGAACTTCGTAATGGAACCGGCTTTGTCAGCATATCTGTAACATTTTTCTTGGTGTTGATATTCAGTAACAAGATATCACCCTTAGCTATTATCTCACGGATAAAAATGTACCCGACATCAATGTACTTCATCCTCGCATGATATACCTGGTTCTTCACCAAATGTATTGCGCTCTAACTATCACAATGAACAATACATCTGTCTTGATGTAAGCCTAAACAACACAAGTCCTCTAAGCCAAATAACTTTTTTCACTGCCTCAGTAACAGCCATGTATTATGCTTCAGTCGTAGACAAGAAAACCACAATTTGTAGCATCGGCCTCCAGCTGATAGGAGTTCCTGTAAGTGTAAACCATAATCTGTAGTAGATCTTCTATAGTCCAAAGCATGTATATAATCAGCATCACCATAACCAACAACATTGTTATCAAACTTGCTGCTTCTTTCAAACACCAGACCCACATCTGATGCAAAATCCATTTACCACATGCCAATACTCATTTCCTTGATTAGCCATATACTTGCTAATACCACTAACGACATGAGAAATATCCGGACGAGTGCAAAGCATTGCATACATAAGACTTCCAATTGCACTTGCGTAATGAATACGAGACATGTATTTCTTTTCAGCACCTATACTTGGAGACAATGTTGCTGACAATCTGAAATGTACAACAAGAAGAGTACCTACAGACTTTGAATTTTCCATAGCGAATTTGGCGAGGACCTTGTTAGTGTACACATTCTGAGAGCCACAATTTGTCCAACTTTCTATCTCTACGTACCTCCATACCCAAAATTTTCTTTGTCAAATCTAAATCTTTTATCTCAAATTCTCCATAAAGCTGAGTCTTCAATTTACTATTTTCAAAGAATTCTTCGTAGCAACAAGCGTATCATCCTTATAGAGCAACAAACAGATGAACAAACCATATGTAAATCTCTTAAAATAGCAGACTTATCATACTTACTTTTGACATAGCTGTGCCCAATCATGAATGTAAAGTGCTTCTATCAATGCCCTGGAGACTCCTTTAGATTGTACAATGACTTCTTCAATGTGCAGACACGTTCCTCCTTGCCTTTAACTACAAACCCTTCAAGCTGATTCATATAAATATGTTCCCCTAGCTCTACATGCAGGAATGCAGCCTTGACATCAAGCTGCTCCAACTCCAAATCAAACAATACAACCATGGCTATGAATACCCCAGTAGAAGTGTGTTTCACAACCGAAGAGAATATCTCATTGTAACAACACCTTCCTTTTGCGCATAGCCTTTTGCAAGTCGTGCCTTAAACTGATCACCACCACACTCAAGTGAACCTTCGTTCTTCTTAAAAACCCATTAACATCTATTGGCTCTTTTACCTTTGGCCATTTCACGAGATCCTGGTACGATTCTTTTGAAGAGACTCAATTTCTTCATTCATGGTATCACTCCACCTACTATTATCAATATCTTGTGTAGCTTCCTTAAAAGTGGAAGCCTCTTGCCTTGTAGCAACCAATATACAGGCCACCATATCCTCAAAACCAAACCATACTACAAGCTTCTTGGTTCTTTATCCCCTTCCAAGATGAGGCTCTTCCTCGTGGGGAGTAAGCTCAATGACCTCCTCATGTTCAACATTTTCCTCCACGATATCACAGGGATTTTCAAGCACATATTTTGCATCATTATTGAGTTGTCAACTCCACCTCAACTTCATCACCACTGTTGTGATTTTCTTTTCCAGACCCTTTTGAATGTGCTTCAACATAGATAATTCATCAAACTTAACATCACAATTGATAATAAACTTAGACGACATAGGATCTAGGCACCATAATCTAAAGCCTTTAACTCCATCCACAACCAGGGAACATACACTTCTTTGATTCAGAACTCAACTTATATCCTCTACATGAACATAAGCAAGACAATAAAAAATTCTTAGATGAGAATAATTAGCAGGTTTACAGGACAACATTGGTCGGCCCTGGTCTCGATCGGACCTAGAGAACCCTTCCTCAAGACCGCGGTGCAGTGTGTGTGCGTACGGCTAAAAACAACAAGAGAAAGATTTAAGGTGTGAGGGGGGACCTACCTCACGGGTTGGGTTCATGACACGCCCGGGCGTGTGAGCAACCCTCTTAGATCACGAATGCAGAAAGCCCC